GAGTTTTTTTTTGTTTGTTTATGCGATGATAGTGATGAAAAACAAGGAAAGAAGAAGAAAAAAGGAGGATGAGAAAAAAGAAGTAAACTTTTATCGGCGAGGTGCAGAATCGAGCATACAAATGGCGCGAACCCAGACGGCGAATCATGCAGCGTCTGTACAGACTTTGCATCTCATTGAAGCGGCGGGATAATGCCTCATAGCTGGCTCGTAAAATGACTTTCCTGGGAGAGCTTGTCACACGGCCCCGCGTTTAGCGGCAGTGAGTGAGGGAGCAAGTACTTTATTTCAGTAGCAATCGGCACAGATATGTCGTGTAGAGCCAGTAAAACCGCGGGCTGACGTGCTCCACATCTCGGAAAACCACCGCACTCTTAAAAATACCGCGAAAGCGCTGGGATATCTGTATAATTGTTGGAAGTTAACACTGTCCACTGTCTTTTATCGCTCTTCAGCTGTAAAATATGGACTTTAACGTCCGATAACCACGATATGATTACGAGAGACGCCGTGTAGGGGAGGGTCCGGAAATTTCGACCAGCTGAGGTTCCTTAACGTACACCTAAATCCAAGTACACAAGCCCCGAGCATTTGTTTCGTCGCCAGCAGAAAATGCGGCCGCTGCGACTGGGATTCGATCCCGCCACCTGCGGGTTAGCACCAGTCGACCACCATAACGGCCAAACTATCATGGCAGGTCGTCGGGCGATCAGGCAAGGTCTATTTTTCGTGTACGCTGTCAGTGCGAGTAGGGTAAACAATGACCACATCTTTTTGTTTTGTTAATGCCATCCATTAGTTTTTTTTTTTTCTGCCCATACCACTTTTCCATTCTCAGCCGTCAGACAGCCGAAGGTAAAATCGCTAGATTTCTGACTTCTTAAAAAAAAAAATCCGGGGATTTCGGCTGCACGCAGGCGTCCTTGCCTTTTTCCCTTTTTTTCATCTTTTCTCTCTCCGTGTTTGCAACTTCAGGTAAACCAACGGTAGCTCAAGAACACCTCCGCGTGCGGTGCTTAAAAAGCAGTTCCCGAAATTCTTCGCAGCATATTCCCCCGTCGGTAAACAGCAAGTCCATTTGCCCAACGGGGTGGCCACACGTGGGCCAGTAGATTTTATGAGATTCTGGGAAAGCGCTCGGACAGCGTGGGGTGATCTTCGCCCCGTCCGCGCCGTTCGCGGGACACGTGCTATCTCTAGACCTTCGCCGGCATCTCTGTTCCTCCCAAAGAATGCCGCCTCCTTTGCTTCAAAAAAGCCGGCGCATATTTGCGGCCTTTCAACGGCGGAAAGTGCCATTCATGTTCCGTGCTTGCTTTCTGGAATCGCAGGGAGTGCCCCGTGGTCCCTCCGTGGCGTGGCTTCGACTGCCGGGTTGTGTATGCAAACAGGCCTGTTTCGGTCAGAGGCGAGGAGGTGCCTGGAATTACCGGATAAGAAGGATGGAACCTCCGTAAAATACCCACAAGAAAAGCGCGGGGAAGGACTGTAGCAAAACAGACCACTAGGCGTTTCGAAGGCTGTTAGAACTGCCTTGTTTACACGCCTGAGTCGCCCTTATTGGTTTGCATGCATCCACGATGATGTTTTTTTTTTCCTTCGAGTCATGCCTTCGCACTGTTCTGTCAAGGAAAGTACTCCTTGAAGCCCCGTCAGCTATATATATTTTTTCATATTTATTTCAGACAAGCAGTATGCATAGTTGTCGGGAATCGGCGCGAAGGCAAATGGAGCCTCACAAACGCCAAACCTCCGTGTGCACACATGAATAACCAGTGTACATGACAAAACAATATGAGTGTAATAATTTTCTCGCATGACTTCTAGGAGCTCATCAATTGCCTCCTCGTCGTGGTGAACAAAGATGACATAATTGAGTTCAAGATGAGAAAAAGCACATGTGGCGTGCTACCTGAAACGATCTTGTGTTTTCACTCACCCAGTGCGCGATGGAATGAAAACCGTGAGAGATAAGAAACCGGCCTAGTGGTCAAGAGAACAAGCTGGCCCTTGTATATATATCCTGTGTTCATCGCATCAGGAGAAGGACGTATCACCAATGGTCATTCAGGGTGAAGGAAGGTACACAGCCACATGATATAATAGTGCAGGCCGTCTACAAGTCGGGAATGAAGGGTGCAAGGTTCCGAAGGCTGACTGTAGCCGGGAGTTTTTCTAATTTCGAAGCGGCTTGCCTACAGGACGTGTGTTAACCAGGACTTGATTAAGAGTATACTAAGAGATGGGAAGCTCCGCCCAAGATGCCAAAGGATTAGGTAAAACGATGAAATGAAGAAATTGGGAGCCGTAAAATGGCATCAGCTTGCGTAGGACGTGGTCGGTTGGAGGTGATTGGGAGAGGCCATCGTCCTGCCGTCTACATAAGGTGTATGATGATGATAATAACTTTTTCAACTGGTCCTAAATACATTATTTGTCTGAGCGATGGGCTGACTGATTGTGGAAGCGTCTTTGATGACCAGCGATACATGTGATGTGGCTGTTCATATTCAGCTTTTCGCGCTATCAACATGGCTGCCAATTAGGAAGCTTGGCTATCCTAACTGTACCCTAGTTTGGCGCGTGCGCGGCACTTGCCTTTCGCCCTTCCTTCTCACCATTCGTGGACTCCTCATCGAAAAAAATGTCTGATTGTCAGCAACGAGTAAGGTAAAGACAGCATACTGTGCTGATGAGAGACTTTAATGCAAAGGTAGGCAAGAAGCAGGCTGCAGACCATGCAGTGGGGGAATGTGGCATCGGCTGTATAAGTTCCAGAGGGGAGTGACTTGGGGAGTTCGCAGGACGTAATAATTTGCGGGTCTGATGTGAGTACTAATGGCGAAACTTAAACGAAATAGACGTCATTCTGTGTGTACCCGCGGGTATTTTTAGGATGTGGAAGTAGTTGGCAAGATCCGATGCAGTGACTATGGAATGTTAATGTCTCGAATTAATGTTTCGGAGCAGACGACGCAGCGAGTGATGGAAAGGAAAATGATACGTGTAACCTTAAGAGACAGGAAGATAGCATGAGTGGGTCAGGTAACAAACGGGTTGAAATCATAGTTGAAATCAAGAAGAAATGCATGGACATGGGCCGGGCACGTAGCACATAGGCAGGATAACCGATGGTCATTAAGTGTAATTGGCGAGTCTAAGAGAAAACAAGTGCGTAAGAGGGAGACAAAAAAATTGTGTGTGCAGACGAGATTAAGAAGTTCGTAAGCATAACGTGGCAGTAGAAAGCATAGGACCGGGTCGATTGGCGGAACATGAGAGAGGTCTTTGTTTTTGCAGTGGGTGTAGTTATTGGTCGATGATCATGGTGATGAATTTGTTAAGACAGGGACTGTATCACTAAGGTCCCTTAATAAAAGGACCTTATGTATTACTAGGCTCCTGCAGTTCTTTAGGGGCGAAGCTCCTAATGTCGTGGGTCTGTCCATCTCTTGTTTGTATGTACGTGGTCGCCTATAGTTCCACCTTTGCCAACTGCCCACTACTTCGTCCTTGCAAACATCCCACTACGTCCCATCACCGATCCACCACTTCCCGGACCATAAAGCAAATACTGTTGAGAAGTAGCCAATATGAAATGCAAGATGGTCGTGCAGTTTTATCCAGGTGCGTGTTAAATAACCATAGATTTTCCCATTGTGTCCATCCTTTGTTTGTACGTGGCCGCCTATAGTTACACCTTTGCAAACTGCCCACTACTTCGTCCTCACAAACATCCCACTACCCCCCATCACCGATCCACCACTTCACCTACCTTAAAATTAAGCCGTTATAATAAAGGGAGAACGGAAGTGACATATAGCTACAACTTATGAATAATAAAATTTCTTGTATAAATATATACAGTGTTTGTCACGTCTTTTATGATGTAGCGGGCGATATTCGCGGATGGTTCTCGGTTTAGCGATGAAACCCTCCAGCGCTTCGCCCCATTCATCAACATTCACTCTGTGGATATGCCGTGATTTTTTTTTTTTTTGTAATGCTACGAGGCTGTTAGCAAAAATTTGAAGTCGGGCTTTTTCCCACCTTTACCATCGCCTAAGAGCTTCGTTTCGTACTTAAGCACATTGTAGCTGCGCAAGTGAAGTCCTTTTTAAAACATGTAACATGCTAACGTAAGCCACCTCCACTAAAATACTTTGTTAGAGTGCTTCAGCAATACCAATTTACCCTACAGTGGTCGGCACGCTTCTTTTAAACGTTTCGGCCTCGGAAGCTGGTCATTACATGCGCTAACAAAATGTGATTCCGAATTTTGTTGATAGAGGTCTTCAAGACCAAAAAAAAAGAAAAAAAAACTTCCTGTTAAAATCGATGGCACGATATTGCCGTGTTTATAACGTACGGTAAATGGGCACGACTAATGGAGAACCGTTTGCGAATATCACGCGCAAGCTTCGCCATGTTCACATGAATGAGCTTTCACGCGGGATGCACAATGCTTTGCTCGGATACTGGGCAATACGACCGAAAAGCTTTTGTAGGGCTTCGTTGCTTACAGGAAGCGAAAGAAAATGCCCTGTGACGAAGGTCGCCCGGCCACCAAAATAACCGCGGCCTCATCTGCAACTATTGTGCGCGTACCGTTCCTGAAAAGCGCTCACCACTGCGAAAACAGGCGCGCGGTTGGGACCTTGAGAGAGGAAGGGTATACCGGGTTGAGGGTGGCGCGCTGTACGAGGGCGAGACACCAGCGGCAGGGTTTTCAGAGGCGAGGGGCCAAAATGGCGCGTCGATCGCCGGCGTCGCGACGCGGACGAAGGGGGGCCGTCTGAAGGATGTAGTAACGCCGGAGAGGGGAAGCCGGCTAGGTACCTACGGGGAAGACGCTAGGGATCACTAGCTACTCGCCTGGGGATGCGAGTACGCAGAAGGTCATTTCCCGAGGACGTAAACAAACCCCTGGTGGCGGGAGCCCGAAGCGGGAAGCGTCACCGCCAGGCCAGTGTACTCTCCTGCCGTACGACGCCGTGGCGCGCGCGCGTTGTGTTGTTTAGTGGGACGTCTGCTGTGGCAGAAGACGCGCGCTCGAGTCGCTCGCCGCACCGTTGTGCCGCTGCTGTGCCCTGCGACGTCGTGTGTGTGACGGTGTGTGCACAACTATACCCGCATTTGTCCCCAGCCGTTCGTAGTAAACACGGCGGACCGCGAGCATCGGCACCGACGCCCGAGCGCCGCCGGCACTGCTAGTAGCAGCTCATCGCTGCATGCCGCGCGTCGGCACCGCTGCGCCCTCGCAGCGTCCACAACGACCCGTGGTGTGGCCGCGTAGATGGAGGTGTTCGGCTGCTGGCCCACAACCACCAATCGTACAGCCCCACCCTGTTCGTCGTCGGTTCCCTGGAACTGCCGCTTGTGTAGCTGCCCCATTCAGCAACCGCCGCCGCCGCCCAAACTTCAGGAGGACCCGTTGAGCTTCGCCAAGGATTTGAAAGACTCGTTGAACGCCCTGCAGCGCGCGGAGCAAGCGCCGCCGCATCAGGCATCGCCCGATAACCGTTGGCTAGAGGAGGTTAGCCTTTTTTGATTTCTCATTCCTTTCGTGGGGCCTGTTTTTCGCGCGCGCGTCTCTTGGGCCTTCTCTCCGTCGGGCGAGCGTCGTGGGAAAAAGGGAGAAGAGAACGAGATCTGGTGCTTCGCCCCGTTTTCCGCCGGTCGTCGAGCCGATCATGGTCCGTCTGGAAAGTATTGAGGCAGACATCTAAGAAAACAAGAAATTGTGCGTAGATGAGACAGAATGGAGCACCCTGGTCTGACCGTAATAGTTGACGTAAACAAAGACGAAGCACTGTAGTTCGTCCTTCCGATGCGCTCACGCCGAAAATAACCGCCCGATTGCCTACTTGGATATCGAGCCCCATTTGGCAGTGCCTGTCTTAAATGACTGTTCGTTAGTGAATCCATTGCTCAGTACATTGAAGTTGCCGGCAAGAGTAGTTTAGAAAGCCGTGCACTCGAGCAGCCGGTGTAGACAAGTGTCAATCTTCCGCATCATTTACTGCCCTGTTTTTAAAAAGCGCAGATTTAATTTTGAGTGAATTCTTTCCAAGCTAGCGCAATGTGGTATTGATACGAAGGGCAATCCATGAGCCACAGTGCGTGTGTAGTTCTCAAATTTTCTGGAAAGTGATTACCCGCATTTAAAAACAATAATGGCGTTGCAGCAGCGCTATTAGTTTTCACAACTACAACTTCTCGAAGTATCGACAAGTTATTCGCGCTTTCATGCGGCCTGATTTCGCACGAACACGAAGAGGCTACTTCATGGATCCATCGACGATCCCGCCCGTAGTGAGAACTGGTCTTCAGACGAGCGCGCGCTTTTTCCCGTTTGTTTACCTCGAGTCTCCTCCGTAGGCGCTTTTTGTTTCCCGCCTTTTTTTTTTTAAATTTTTCTACGTAGCCTGCGCTGTGCGCCTCGTGGTCGACAAAGACTTGTGTTGTGCTGTTTTGAAGTTTCGCCGGGCCGAGTAATCCGCGGTCATTTGATCCACTGATAAGGCATACGTGTTTGCGGACGTTTATAAGTACTGCGAATGCGGTACTAATTATGGAGGCGTTGAGCCTAAACGATGTGAAAGTTGGCAGCCCGTTCAATTGAGCAGTTCAAATTGCAGAGATTAAGCAGCACGGCACGCGCGTGAGGAACCACACGAGACGTAGCTTCTATGTGTGCGTGTCCTTCGCGCTATTTACATTCTCGTATATTGAGAAAGGTATAGGTTTAACTGTAATGCCTCTGTCGGAGTAAGTGTGTTTCTCGAGTGAAGTTGAAATAGTGCGTTAGTGCAAACTAAGAGAAAAACGCTTCAGGTATCAATTTGAACGTGTGCAAGAAAAAAAAAAAAACAGCCGGCTAATGCCGGTACATAGCCTCCATGGCCGGTATGATGTCCGAGTGCCGGTAATATCGCTCGATTCGGCACTTCGTTTTAAATTCTGGGTGCTCCGGAAAATGCTGTTTTACATAAAAAGAAAGAAAGCTGTAGACAGACTAAGAAAGCGCATCTTTTCGTGGTACTCTTGCTCTAGTGGTAATGATCGGTATTGACATGTCAGCAGACACGAAGCTTTGTGTTGAGGATGCGCGAAAGAGTCTAAGCGACACTACCATTAAAAAAAAAAAACGATATCCCTCACTGTCCAAGGAGAGATGTCGAGCAGTCGTAGAAGCCGAACCCACCAAAAGAAATTAACTTTTAACCTTAACGAGACAAAGCAAAAAAGGATGAAGCAACGCAAGAGAAAGAAATTCCGACTCGCCTAACAGCATAGTAGGGAGTATTTACAGCAATTGTACCGGAATGCCACTTCTCAAATCGGTTCTAAAAACCGGTGCCGCTGGTCTCGGCTGCTCATCCAATGGTCGCGGGTTCGACCCGGCCGTACAGTGTGCGATGTGACTGCACGGTAAAGAACACCCAGGTGTGCAAAATTTCAGAAGCCCTCCGGGTATACGGCGTGCATTGTATAATCATATCGTGGTTTTTGCACGTCAAGTCCCAGAGTTTTTTTATATTAAGACCGGTGCGACAGTGTTTGGTTCCTTTTATTCTTTAACGAGTTAGGATTGTGTGGGGCGGTATGCTCGTACATCTCTTTAAAAAAAAAAAGAGCAAGGAAATGCTTGGCTGATTGTTGTTGAAGCATCTAGAAATTATGGAGCATACAGTACAGCCTTTGAACTCGTGCCCCTGCTTGCTGTTTTTTTTTTAAATAAACGTCACTGCGAGGGCAGTAGTTTTGTACTTTGATTTATTGATGATATTTTAATATATATATTTTATTAAAAACAGGCTTTGTTACCTGCTACTGCAGTGAAAACTCTGTAACAGCGTACGCAAATGTGGACGGCTGCGGTGGCTGCATTTCCGATGGAGGCGGAAATGTTGTAGGCCCGTGTGCTCAGATTTGGGTGCACGTTAAAGAACCCCAGGTGGTCGAAATTTCCGGAGCCCTCCACTACGGCGTCTCTCATAATCACATGGTGGTTTTGGGACGTTAAACCCCACATATCATCAGCCTACGCAAATGTCCACGATAGAGCTGACTACGTCTGGTGGAAAGAAAGAAAAACAAAGATATAATTGTATTGCCGCACATTGATCGGGCCGGCTCGGCGATGCGGCTGTCGTCGCGGATGACGTCAGCTCGCGCAATTCCATCCATAAGGTGACGTCATGATTCACTGGTACGTTATGCGCCGGTCGGAATAGATTTATAAACACAGTTATAACAGTATTATCCATGACAGATGGGGACCTTTCGAACGCGGGAAGATTAATCGTGTACGCCGCTGTTTTGTAGATTGATCACTCTTTCTCCGAGGCCGTGCCGTGCTGATGACCTTTTGCAGCGACGTATGCTTTAGGGAGATCGCTTTTGACGAATGTCTCGGTTAATTTATTTTGCATTACGGTCATAGTGAAAGATCAGTGTCAGCGAGGCAGCGCGCTGTTTTGGCATTCTCCGTACAGACGCTGAAACTTTATTTTCATCGAAGTTCGCTGACAGGTGGAAATTAAAGACATCCGCGGACCTTCGTTTGCCGATTGCTGACGTGTTTTGTATCGTACAAACTTTGTTTGGGCGTAGAAAATAAACGAAACTCAACGAGTGTTGTTGTTCGGAAAGGCGGAATAAATATATTTTTTGAATATTAGTTTGACATTGTTAATTCTGTTTTCAAACGTTCTAACCTGGCGGCATCGGAATTAAAGTGACGTCATTGTGACGTATATTGTGGCTCTACCGTCACTGCTGCGGGAAAACTTCGTGTGTTTGTCAACTACTGGGCAGTCTTGTAAAGCTGTATACGCATAGAATTTTGTGTCCTTGGCCGACATACACCGCACGCACGCACGCAGGTTCAGACGTCGCTAACGGTAAATAGCCTTGTATATTACTCGCACGTGTGTGTACCGCTTCTGCATTAATTATACGTAATTCAACGCATTCATCAATCAGAAGCAACCTTCCTACGCCTACCGAAGCGATGTTTCCGCGAAAGCTTTAGAACTGGGTTTCTATGGGTTTGCGACCCAATGTTCCCTCATGTCCGCGCCGGACAATAAAAAGGGACAATGACTTGGTTCAGACTGAAAAACTGCGTTCTGAGAACTTTAATGCCATATGTTTCACTACTGCAAGTTCATTCTTACAGGAGAAAATTAGGGCTGAAATTTCATTTTTAAATCTCGTGCCAAAATCTCCACGCGTGACGTACGAAATTTCAAAGTGTATTTTGGCATTGGCGTAGCGTTCGCTCGATTAAATTTAGATTTGACTGATTGATTTGTGGGGTTTAACGTCCCCAAACCACCATATGATTATGAGAGACGCCGTAGTGGAGGGCTCCGGAAATTTTGACCACCTGGGGCTCTCTAACGTGCACCCAAATCTGAGCACACGGGCCTACAACATTTCCGCCTCTACCGAAAATGCAGCCGCCGCAGCGGGATTCGAACCCGTGACCTGCGGGTCAGGATGAAATTTTATGAAACTTCCTATGTTAAGTCAATGTCACCCACAAAATGTCACCCACAAATTAGAATGTACTTCGTGTTTATCCATCGGAAGCTACGTAGGACCCAGTAGGCGCCTTCACGGCGTTTGGTGCGCGAATTTCAAGGTGGCGTCGCCACCCGCAGTTTCCTTTCGCGCGTTTTTTGGCTTACCCCAAACATCGTGTCGCGGTACAAGGGCTGTTTTCGGGATTGTGAAATTGTACGCGGAACATTGTCGCGCTCTTTGGTGTCCCTTTAACCATCGGTGCCGCAGCTTTCGTAGCCTTCTTTACAACTAGCGCTTGTTTGTGCGCGATGGCGTCCCAGTGTGTGGCTATTACCGCGCACTCGTTAACCTTCAGTTTCCGCTTCCTGTTTTCGCTGCGACTATCTATAGACTGTTACTTAACCTCGTTACGGGCACATATATACGCGTAAATACTTCATGAAACAGTCTTGTACACAAGTGGGGTGGCTGAATTGTCACGGGGGTCGCTCGGTGCCTCCTCGGTCTTCGTTCGGTATTAGCTATACGTGCATAACTGTGTGTCGCGACCGTACGTGGGCTTAGCGCCGTGATCTTGCGCGCCTCGCTTCTGCGTGGCGTGGAGGAACCCCGTTGCGCCCTATAATATACAGCGGCACTTTGGACCGTCATAGCGACAAGTCCCGTCCGTGCATGCACGGGTGGAACGCCGGAGGGGCCAGTGGCCTCTCTGATCGTATAATTGCGCCGCCGTCTTTATGCACGAAACGCAGTGTCGCGTTTGACTATGATTCTCCCCCCCCCCCCCCCCCCCCCTTCTTCGGAGATGGTCGCATCGATCCCGTCGTCTCAGCCTTTTCTCCTTATTTCCGATTCTGTATACGACGCGACGGTCAGCTCCCCTTTCGCTTCATCGCATCAGGGGGCTTTATAGCCATCCCAGCGAGTGTTTAGTGTGCACACACGTATACACTCGCGCTGCGGGCCAGCGACGTGGCACGTACCGACCGTTAACCGGCG